GAGTCGGAACCGTACAAATATGAGCACAAGAGTGAAGTCAGGGCAACACAAACGCCTACCAACAACCGAAAAGGCTCACAGCGGCGGGAAAAAAACGTAGGCACGGAGACTTATCTGCGCATGTCCAGGCAAGAAGCGTCACATTATCCGTCATGTGCGGAGCATTACGAGAAAGTTTACAGTTCGGGCCATTGATTTTTAAAGCAAGCTAAGGGATGGTGATGCAATGGCTACATAGGCGACAGCTCCTACAGGACTAGTAGGTTGTTTGGGGTTGAAATAGTGAAAAGAAAATCTGCCGTGTATACTGCTCACACTCACAAATGTTCACCCCTCCGCAAGAATATCGCATACTGGATACCTTCATCCAATCGACGTACAGCTGCATCTGGCTTCGGTCGTCCTGCGGTGTGCAGCAACCACTCTTTAGGCATTCCTGGTGGTAAGTTTGGCCTAAATACCGAAATTATAGCTTGCCCTATTGCCTCCCCCCCCCCCTATCAAAGACCTTCCACATTCCTCTCACGATAAAATTAATGAAAAGCGCATTGAGCGGGCTTCCTAGTTTACCGTTGCACACTTTATTCAAACACATTCTTTTCTCCCTAACCTAGATATGCTGCTCTTTATGGCAGGTACAGTGACTTAATTTCGTGTTCCTGGACTAATTTAGCAAGAACATGCGTTAAGATACGCTCCAAGAAACCATTGCAGGTCGTTAACACCGTCTGCAAGGTAGAACTCTTTTCGCTTGCAAAGTTGATGTCCTTTTCTTTTTCAATTCAGCCACGGCCGGTCGGGGCAAGTGAGCAGCCACCTCCATCGCCAACGCAAATTTTCCGCAAAGGCTCTAATTAGCTTAGGCGCACCGTGGCCGCTTCAAGCATCGTTGACTTCTGGCTCCGGTCACGTTTGCGTCATTTCGTTTCTTCCTACTTCGTCTGCCGAGCTTAAATGTAGCAGTCAAAATGAAAACAACAAACAAATACAAAGGCGAGTATACTGCGCAAGGAAACGGATTCTATGCCAACACAACTGCGTGTTGCGTCGATCATTTTTCTTCGGTACCCTTGGAAGCGCTCGTCCGTGCCTGAGGTGGCTCGGTTTCGGTTTTCAGTGGCACGTATAGCGAGCTTCGGTGCAGACGCTCTAGGCGTGACCCCATAACGTGGCGCGTGGAAAAGCGTTTTGCTCTTTTTCTTTTTTGTCTGCTTCGATTCCCACGACCTGCTTGCCGCCTACATGTATTAAAGGTGAGCAGGTTGTTGTATAGAAAGTAAACCTGTAGCAGTTCACCGTTATTCTGTGAAATTGCCGTGTGGCTGCATTGTATACTTGGAGCTTGCTCACTTGGCACGCCGTGTAAAGTAGACCGGCCGCGGAATTCCAAGGGCAGGGTATACAATGGCTCGCGAAATTGCAGCTGACGTTGTGCAAATTATGTTCTTGCTTACCTTCACGCGTACTTACTGGAAGCGCTGAAAGAGCGAATGTCTCGCTAACAGCGTTTCGCGGTGGTCAGAATGTTTGCCAGAACGCGTTTCACCTGTGTGTAATGCAGGACATTTGGGGACACGAGTATCGGTCGAGAAGTAACTCTTCCTTTCGATGTAAAACAAACGCGAAACGCTTTAATGAGGCACCTGTATCTGGGCTTTTGCACATGTGCTCCCACGATGAAGCTGTTGCGACTGGCATTGCAAAACGCCAATATAATTTAGGGGTTATAGATGATACTGTACTGCACTGTGTATACATATTTAGCATTTTTATAACAAGACAGACCTCGCATACGTAGAATGGCGACTTTTTTGTCGAAATTTTAAGAAAAATGGCGACTTTTGGCGATTTTTCACTCGTCTTCTTGCGAGTTTCACTCGAAAGTGAGTGGAAACCCTAGACTAGACGTAGTTCGCGTAATAACGCTACCGCTTATTCGCACTCTGCGCTGCACGAGTACGATGAAGACGCACATTCGCCGAGTGAGACGGATACACAAATGCGCCCATCCGTGCTCACAGAAAGAAGTTCACGCGACTACGCACTCCGCTCCGGCGACCGGAAGCTACTGGACGCACTGTGCTGAGACCGGATGTCAGGTAACAAATGACGGATGACACGCACCAACTAACACATTTTCGACCGGATGCAAAACACGTGAGCCGTAGCGCACCATTCAGTTAGGACGCGGGAATACGACAGCTGACGAATGCAAACAGTGTGCTCTGCACACGTCCGGACGGAGGAGGTAGTTGACCGTAATGGCGGGGGTATGCAGATCCGCATACAGACACGCGACCAAATACTTCGGGACAAGCCACATGGCGTAGGTTGGTGGGAGATTGAGGAGAAGCCCCTAAAAGTTTTTGATTCTGCATGTGTTTACATACACGCGCACACACAGAGCACGCCCGAACATACATGAAGCATGATTTATACCTTCAATCGCCTCACACCCAAAAAATTTACTCTAACAAGCCAACATGCCATATTCACGCATGCCAAGAGCCTGTGCCGGCCAACAGTATTGATAATAGATGTGATAAAACATGTAAACCTTGTTATTTACAATAATATTGCAAAAAATGAAAAGAGCAAAGCATGAAGATTGACGATGACAGCGTATTCGATCCTGCGTCCTCGGCGCCCGCATTTTAATGGAGGCTAAATAGTCGTTGCTCGTGTACTGGGCAATTTAGTGCACGGTATAGAATATCAGGTGGTCAAAACTTCCGGAGCCCTCCACTATGGCGTCCCTCATATAGGCCTAACCATGCCATTGTTTTGGGACGTGAAACCCCTGAAATTATTACGGTCCAGCGTAACCTTCACTGACACGTGGGTCGAGTCCACACGAGAGAATGTACATCATTAATTTGATGGCCTTGACGTGTCAAAGACATAAACGAACTATGAAATTCGTTACGACCTACTAGCGTATCGGCACAAATATATTGGGGAAATCGTAATATGCTGCATGAAATATTAGGTGGCTATATGAAGCTTGACGCGCAGTGCTATAATAACCATCGGTTAGTGATAATCTTATTATCTCTGTCGTCCCGTCGTGAACACGCAAAACTGAGAACCTTTACTTATGGGCTTCTTTAAATTTATCGTAGAGTAGACAGCTGAGCCTTGGGTCACGTTCACCGACTCAAGAACAGCGCTGAAGTCTCTAACACACGCAGGACCAACTTGTCATAGCTTATGCAACAAAATCTGGAACCTCCACCATATAATTGCTCTGCAGTAGTTACCTGCCCATTGCATAATAAAGAACAGCGTCCAGCCTGATGACGTCGCCAGACCTGGACATGACATCTCGAGAGAGATTGTCGAGGTACCTTTCTCGAGAAAAGGTGTGATGACACTTGTATTCACACACGCTCGACACCTTCAGCTATCTCTCTAAATACATGCTAGTTACCAATATGGGCCTTTGCACATCATCTATCATGTGACTTGAATATTCCGCGAGACTTTTACAGACAAAAGAAACCATGCTTGTGCCACATCAGATTAAACGACATGTACATTAACTACAAAAGAGGGAGATTAAAATTTTGAACTCATCGTTGAGCGTTCAGTGAAACTTACCAAATTACTTGAATCACACTATCGGCGGATGCGTAGCACCTGTGCGTTACATGCCACCGACGCCTTGGGCTTTGCCGAGGTTAAATAAAGTTTGATTTGAAAGCGTTGTTGACCTTCTTGCAGGACACGGGTCTAAACAAAACTTTGTGAATAGTTCACGTAATCTACTTGTTTGTGGCTGTACGTGTTGTTTTTATTGGTGTACACGTCGTAATTCATACAGCACCTGGAGTATAGAGGGCCAGGAGGCAAATAGCCAGGCAAACATCTCCAGCTATTCGTTAGAATACTCATCTGTAAAAAGATTTAGTATGACAAAAAATAAAAAAACAAAGAGGTGTATGCATTGCGTGTTTCAAACGGCGCATGCAACGTAAACGCAGCCGAAGGTTTGTTGGCGTATAGGCCTACATGACAGAAAAGTTTGTAGACAATCGTTACTCTCTAAGCTTCCTACCAATCTCTTAGTAGATAATTAGACAAGTGGCACGCAAATGCACCTGGATAAATGTTACCTGTTCCGGTGGCCTGAGGGTTTTAATGCTCCACTGCTGACCCGATGGTAACGGAATGACATTTCGACCGTGGCAGCCGAATTTCGGTGGAGGCGGTATGTTCGTGGCACGTGTAATTATATCTTGGCGCGCGTTAAGTAACACTAAATGACCGAAGCTTCCAAAACCTTCTACTACAGCGTCGCTCGTAATCCTATTATGGTTCTGGGACGTCAAACCGCAACAGTTAATAATAGAGAAGTTTAAGGTAACCTGAAAGCAACCCTGCAGGGGTTGCTTTCAGGTTACCTTCATGAAGTGTTCATGAAGATTCATGAAGTGTTCATCGCCAAACGGTGTCGTAAGAAGACTTGTTTGATGTAAAGTAGCCTCCAGATGCGACTTTAACCCTGAAACTAGTTACACATGCCCAAACACAAAGAAAGGGAGAAAGAACGAGAAAAAGAAACATTACGAAACTCAAGAAGTGGTGCCCTATGATACTGTGCAGTATGCACACGAGACTATATAGAGTGTTGTAATAAAAGACATGGAGCATGCGTATTGCGACAACGATGTCCGTTTCCTTCTCGAAAGTGGTCTCATGGCCACAGCACGCACGTTGGACCTTCTGTAGCGAACGTGATAGGTCCTGCGTCGGACAGTGTATGCAGCGAGTCTCGAAAATGGAGTCAAATATTGCGCAAGTGCTACTCTGCCCAGCAACGGGTTGGTTCATTACCTGAAGTAGCTGTTGTTCGTTCGTTGGTTCGTTCATTCACTTGTTTTTCTTTAGATATTAGTTCTTTTTCTGTATAGGATTACTCTTCTAACTGAAGCGTTCTCCCCATGCAGGCGAAGACGAGGTGCGGGTGTGGCTGACAATTCCGAGCAGCGCAATTCTCGAGCCGCTGATGAACTCATCAACGGCGGCGGCGCTAGGCTGCCGCTCGTCTAAGAAAAAGACGGTGCACTTTGCGCTGCCCGGTCGTGTCATACGTCCGCTGCAGTGGCGCGATGACGTCATATGGGCGCGCGTCGAGCCCGTCAAGGGACGGCGGTACTCGACCTCGACCGGACACCTGTTTCAGCCTCCCTCGTCGGAGGCATCGCCGACGACGGTGATCACCGCAGAATGCACCACCACCACCACCGCCACCCGCGTGCACCGACGTAGCGCCAGTAACTGTTCCTCCGTTGACTCAAATTACGCCAACACCTCCTCGCAGGAGGACAATCAGTCGTCTTCTAGTGCAGACTCCGTACCGGTAAGCATGTGCCTCTTCTTCTGAGTCATAACAGACCTCAGCAAGTGACGCTAAAGGAATGTATATATATATATATATATATATATATATATATATATATATATATATATATATATATATGATTCAAAAAAGAAGTTCCGTGGGTAAATATAATTAAGAAATAAAGCAGCACACTCACGAAAATTGGATAGTTTTTTACTCTACGTTTTTTATTGTTTTTACTCTACGTACAGTAAAAAACTATCAAAATTTCGTAAGTGTGTTCCTTTGTTTCTTAAATATATAGATATGGAGTTAATTTGGGTAAGCATCTTCCTTTCCCATCATGTGGGTTACATTTTACGAGACCACTCACACATATAGCCTCTTTTTTTGCTCTGTAATTTTGGTCATTCTCTCCTTCTTAACATTTAGCAGCTGCTCAAGTCTGGAAGACTTCTTCAAAGGCAGGCCTTATTTATTTTGACCTTCAAACCATATAAGGCTTTACTGCCAGTGTTATTCTGACTGTATCTGATAGGCTTTTCCCTTATTACTGCGCAACACTACACATACGTGTGTTCAACCAGCTCTTGGTCTTCATATGACATTAGATGTTTAGTTTCGTAATTGATAATATAAAAAAAACGACAGACTTGGAAAATTTCTTGAAGGGGAACCTTTTCTGAGGAAGAAAAAAAAAAGCGTGTTGCGCAAACAAAATATAATGTGCCCTTTCAGAAGGTCATAAGCCAACCGGCCTATAGACGGCGCAGTTAAATGCGAGGAGCGTTCACGGAAAGAGACGAAAGGGACAAGCGCTCTTTCTGATTCCTACGGGAAGAGACAAGCTGTGTAGCAAGAACATTTCAGAATAAATCCCACAAGAACAGCTAGCCAGAGAAAACAAGGACTGCACAAGCAGCACAGTGACACCTATTTAGACACACAGAAGCATTCGCCTAACAACACTTTGTAATGGCAGGCCCAGCGTGTGGGTCCAGTGAGACAGCGGGTTCTGAAACACAACACTCTCGATGCCCTATGTAGGTGGTACTTCGTAGTTAGGCTTACTTCGGTCTCCATGGACACCACTTCTGAAATAACAAGATAGGTAGTACACTGAGCCTTTTGTTTAATTTTCGATCTGCGGGTGCCTGTGCAAAGGCTCAGCCTTGAAACAATGATTCAACCTTGAAGTGAAGGTGCTCAGGAAAATTACTTCCCCGGTGAGAGCGAAAGCTGCAGTTGCTGAGCAGATGAGCCAGTTCACCTGAGTGTTCAATGCAAACGGCGATTCGGGAGACGGGAGGGATTGAAGGACGACGGACAAAAACAACGGTTGCTATATAAGAACACGATTTATTTAGATAAAGCAAGGAAGACTTTTAGAGGGACACGAATACGGCGTCTCTTCGTTGCACAACCGTTTCTCTCATGCCTGAAGCTCCCGAGAGCCGCGCACAGTTGTTCATTCGCACTCGCCACGTGGGAGTTCACTTCGGTGCCACATTACAGCCTGGCCGGTTGGCGCAGTGGTAGTTGTTGTAGCCTGGCGCTACCTTCCGAGCTCCGTCTCGCACAACAAGAGTGGGCACATGAGTGGCAGTCGAGCTTAATGGAATTTGCAATAAGACGGTGTCGTAACTCAACGACTTGCCACGTGCCGAAGCAAATACAAGCGCATGCGCGCACACCTGACGTGTGCGCCCGCGCGAGCACGTGCAGATATTTAGGTTGTCGTATTAAGCAATCTGCATGCTTCCCAGTATTTTTAAATGCTTTAGCGAATTTCGGTGAGTTTGAGCGTATCTATCTATCTATCTATCTATCTATCTATCTATCTATCTATCTATCTATCTATCTATCTATCTATCTATCTATCTATCTATCTATCTATCTATCTATCTATCTATCTATCTATCTATCTATCTATCTATTTATCAATCCATCTATTTATCTATCTATCTATCTTATCTATCTATCTTATCTATCCATCTTACCTACCTATCTATCTTACCTACTTATCTATCTTACCTACTTATCTTATCTATCTTATCGATCTTATCCATCTTATCTATATATCTTATCTATCTTATCTGTCTAATCTATCTATCTAATCTATGTAATCTAGCTAATCTATCTATCTTATCTAATCTATCTTATCTAATCTATCTATCTTATCTAATCTATCTTATTTTATCTAATCTATCTAATCTAATCTATCTAATCTATCTATCCGCTCACATTTAGGTGCTTCCGTGGTCACCCCTTTAACTTGGCGTGAACAAGGGTAAGATTGTTTGACGAATGTGTGACACGCTGCTGAAGACATGAATAATGTCACAATCCCGTCGTGTACGTCGTCAAACACTTCCCTCCAGACAGTGGCGCATACCTACGGGCTGGTATGTGCCGCTGGTAAGCGGGTATGTGCCACAGAAGGTTGACACTTAGTATCTACCCAGAAGCGACGAGAACACAGATGAGCATTTTTAACGCACGAGAGTTAAGAAATACCGAACATCTGTAGCGTCGACAGGACGAATGCAAAGAATAAATGTCAGGGTCCCAGCTAGAATTGAGCCGAAGCAGTCTGCTTGGCAATGAACCATTTTACCACAGAGCTACGCCACGTCTCGGAGCTACTTTTGAAATACACGCTAAGCTTCCTGAAACGTCAATAGTGCTTGCAGTGAGTGCTACCTATCCAATTTTAATTAAAACACTACATATGTACTCCTTTGATACAGCCGTCACGTCGTGTTAACGTCATTTGCGGATAGTTGCCATGCGCCGAAGTTTATTTATGTAGCAGTGTGCAGGGCCAGCATCTTCGCGAACATCAGCGCTTCATATCAGCTTCTGGTGTTGCTGATATGTATGTTCCAGTTGGCATTGTTGCCCAAGTGCGAACAACTGGTTATATAAACATCTGAAATTCTTCAACTTATGTCTGTGCGTGCAACATTTGTACATATATTTAGCGTCATTTCATGACCTGCCACTCAATAAAAAAACGGTTACATTTCCTCCGCATGCTTCCAATAACGTCGATTCCTAGCTACGTGGGTTCTGCCGTATTTTTCGTACAAATAATTGCGACTTCGCTTTGCCCAATCACAGCCGGCCGTTTCCACACGCAAAGATTTCACAGCAATTGCTATTGAAATCGGCCAGGTGCTGTGGGACAATTCTGTGCTCGCTTCCTGGAGAAACGACATGATCTGTTTCTTTCAATCCATTTGTTCCGACAATTTCGCACACCCTCACTCTCTTCCTTCGGCTCGCCTTTCAACGAGCCTGTGGCTTGCTATTCGCAAACTCGTTTAGCTTCTCTGGGGAGCTCTTACAAAAAAAGTTCGTACTTCTTGTCCACGTGCGTGGCTGTCACGAAGGTCGCGAAAACGACATCATTTTGCAGAAGCACTGAAAGGCGGACGAGTTGGAACTTTTTCATCGTAGGAAAGCGCACAAATTGAAAACACAACACATGAGAACAGGAGAAGCTCTTGTCGTGTTCCCTTCTTTTTGTGTTTTCAATTTGTGCGCTACCCAAGGATAAACGAGATCTTTTTCGCTAAATCTCGGGCTCAGTGCTCGATGAAAACTCTGTTCCTACTTATTAAAGAACTTGTTCCGAGAATGCGAAGCGTGAGTAAAGCAAAGCCTCGAGAAAGCGCACCAGGTGCAGTGGTGTATAGGGCTCTATCAGCGACCATGTAGTAAACGCTGCGAACGCGAGAAGAAAACAAGACGAAGGAAAGCCATCGCCGATCAGGCTCTGTCACAGTCAGTGCGCCTAGAGCTGTCCTTCATTAGGTGTTTCTTTATGCACTTAACTGAGTTTGCTTTGAATAAACGAAAATTTTATGATTCTCTATCAGCGTTTTTAAAGCACGTCAAGCATCTGAATAAGCTAGCTTGACCGAAATCATTATCTTTTTTCGAGAATCAGGAAAGAGGCATGAGACGACTATACCAAAAGAAAATTCGAAAAAAAAAGAGCAGGGTCTACAAAACAGCTGATTCGCATCTCACTCAATGTAGAGTGTGTCTTGTATATACCCCCCCCCCCTTTCTTTTTGCGTATCTTTTAGGGCTAACTTTCCCCATATGTTTAACCAACTGGCCTAAATTTGCACATTTTTAGGACGCCATTTTTGGAAAACAAGCCGAAGGTCTCAGTGCGCTTGCGCACACGCTAGACATTCTTCAATGTGTTCTATTCAACCTGACGAAGCTTGTGAACGTGTCATCGAACCTATAGCATCGGGTTTCTGTGCTGGGGGCCCAGAATTCAGCTTCATTCATCTAACCGTGATAACTCATGCTTGTCCTGTTTACATACGGGCTGCGCTAACGTCACTAGTGATATTATTTGCGGCTGGCTACAAAGGTATGTGTTTCTTATGTATTACGATGATGTTAGCATTCTTCCAAGATACATAATACATAAGCTAATACAAAAGAATAGAGATCACAAGGACTAGAAAAATTACAGGCCGATCAGCTTGCTCTCCGAGATATTTACAAAAATAATTGCTAACAAAAGTAAGACAGCATTTGAATTCAATCAACCAAAGGAACAACCAGGATTTCGAACAGGCTACTCAACAATCGACCTCATTCATACTATCAATCAGGTAATAGAAAAATTCTCAGAATATAGCCAACCACTATACATAGCCTTCATAGATTACGAGAAGGCGTTTGATTCAGTAGAAATATCAGCAGTCATGCAGACACTGCGGAATCAGGGTGTCGACGAAGCATATGTAAACATCTTGGAAGAAACCTACAGGGGATTAACTGCTACCATAGTCATTTATAAAGAAAGCAACAGAATACCAATCAAGAAGGGTGTAAGGCAAGAGGATAAATCTCCCCAATGCTATTTACCGCGTGCTTACAGGAGGTTTTCAGAGTCGTAGAAGGGGAACAGTTGGATATATGAGTTAATGAAGAGTACCTTAGTAACCTGTGCTTCCCCGATAACATTGCATTGCTGAGTAACTCAGGGGACGAATATGCAACTCATGATTACGGAAGTTAGACAAGGAGAGCAGAAAGGTGGGTCTTAAAATTAATCTGCAGAAAACGAAAGTAATGTACAATAAATTTGAAAGAGAGCAGCGCTTTAAGATAAATAATAATGCACTTGAAGTTGTAAAAGACTATGTGTACTTAAGTACGGCAATAACAACGTAGCCGAACCACGAGACTGAAGTAGCTAGAAGAATAAGAATGGGGTGGAGCACATTTGGCAAGTACTCTCAAATCATGACAGATAGATTGCCACTATTCCTCAAGAGGAAGGTATATAACAGCTGCATCTTTCCGGTACTTGGCTATAGAGCAGAAACCTGGAGACTTACAAGGAGGGTTCAGCTTAAATTGAGGACGACGCAGCGAGCAATGGAAAGGAAAATGGTAGGTGTGACCTTAAGAGACAAGACAAAGGCAGAGTGGATTAGGGAACAAACCGGGATTAAGGATATCATTGTTGAAATCAAGAAGAGTAAGTGGACATGGGCCGGGCATGTAGCACGCAGACAGGATAACCGCTGGTCATTAAGAGTAACTAACTGGATTCCTAGAGAAGGCAAGCGGGTTAAGGGGAGACAGAAGGTAGGTGGGCGGATGAGATTAAGAAGTTTGCGGGTATAAGTTGGCAGCAGCAATCACAGGACCGAGTTGACTGGCGGAACATGGGAGAGGCCTTTGTCCTGCAGTGGACGTAGTAAAGCTGATGATGAAGAAGATGATGATGATGATAAAAGTATGCAGACAAAGCGAGCGCATGGGGAAAACCGCCGTCTGCGCCTTCTAGTGGAGAGCCATCTGCAGTCGAGAGCATTGCCTTAGCTGAGCAATCGCCATAGCAATGCTCTTCATAGGAGACAGTTCGCCACTAGAATGCTCAGACAGCAATTTCGTCAGGCGGTCTGTGTTAATGTATGGCTGGCTATACCTTTTAAGTAAACATACAGGAAGGGCTCAGACACATTAAAGCACACATTAACACGCATATTCATAAAAACTGCTCCAGCAGAATAACTTGTTAAGCCCGCTGTGCACCACTACCTCTACTAATTTTTCTGGCTGCAATTCGCACCCTTTGTTATTGGTTTATGTTTGGGAATGAAAGAATTGTTAGACAGGAAGAGGGAAAAAATTAAAGGTCAGATAGATGAGTCAATTTTCGATGTCTGTATCAGACAACAGTCCGCTATAGTAAGATATTCGATTGGATTGCAAAACACTCTTCGACATATTATTTTCTTCGTACAGTAGTTATTCAGACATATTTTACATGATGCGTACGATTTCGATATGATATATTTCTCTAATGATCTCGGAAATTTTCATCTTGACATAAACCTTTTTAGCCTAATTAGCATGAGTGCTTGAGCAAGGCCACGTTCGCAGTAGGCTGATTTTGGGGTAGACACTGCCGAAGCTAAGATTAAAAAAACTAATAAAGTAATAAAGAGAAATGAAGGCACAGAAAACAAAAGTTATAAACAAAGAAAGCAACCTGGTGGGGAATAAATTGAGAACCACAAAACCCAAAATCACGTTAAACAAAAATTGTCGATCGAGCTCATGATCGACCCCCAGTTTGTTAGGTGGAATACTTACTGTCTGTCACGAAAAAAAAAGTTTGAGAGAAAAAAAACTACATCTTCGGGTCTACGAAGACCAATCATCACATAACGATATGATTTTCAATGTATTTTGGCTCACTGAATGACGAAAGCCTCTAGCTGTTATTGTCTGTTTACACTATCTTGTTAAAGGTTATTGCATTATCCTCGCGAACTTCTTAATTTCGTCTCTTCATCGAAATCTCTGCCTGTTTCGACTGCGTGGCAATGTATATACTGCATAAGCCAATGTGATTCAGTGCTTAATTTTGTTAAATACTACAGCCCCTAATTTTTGTTTCCTTTTTTTTCAGAACATCGTCATTCTTACCTGTTCCGGACAACGGTCTATAGGCAAGTATTCCATACATAGATTCAGGAATCATTCTAAACAGCTTGCTAATTATTACCTTGTGCAAAAAAATTACTCGTGTACAAGCTCTGCAGCTGCATTTTATGGTTACCGTACCTACCCTGACGACAGATATTATGCATGCATGACGGATTTTGTGGAACATGGACTGACTTTAATTTCACAATGACGTCAGGGGACTACCGCACGTATTTGTACGTTTCTTCTATTAATATTTTTTTTAACAATTCGGAACGCTAGATGCCTGGTTGCCTACCCTTCCTTCTGCGATAGATATTTCTTTTCACGAACAAGTTTTTGAAGCATGCGTTAGCGTCTGCTGTATCGAGTAATCATTTATATTTTCATTCTAGTATCAACAAAAATATTGTGAATTCAGTGCATGTGACGCCATCTAAAAAGCCACTAAGAGCCTCAGAAGCGCTTCTCCCTAAAACTGCTTTTAATTTTTTATGTTTTTACATTGCGTGTGTAAAACGTGTGTAAAAAATGAGTTTTCTAACGCAACAATATTTTTTCAACATAGAACGCAGTTAGCTTCTCTCGTTTATTAGGTCAGGTTTGACGGTGAGAAATCAACGTAAACTATGCTGTGTCAGCCACAGAGAGTTTGCATTGCGTACTTTAATTAACATGACTTTACCCGACCTACATTACGGTAACTACTGAGGTGATGCAGTGTAATAACGACAATGGGCAAATAAGTACTGATAGTTAATGTACTTTTGCTCTTACGAGTAGATTTAATATTTTTGTGAAATTGAAAGAGGCCAAATGTTGGCCTTGAATATTACGAAAGTGTATACACGAAAGTGTAAGAAAAATGCGTCTATATACATTTCTAAAAAAGTTGTTGCAGCCCTTCCAAGTGAGACTTACAAGGTATTTCATTAAAAAACCCGTCGTATCAGAAAGACAGCACCTAATATACCAGAATTCTTCACACGGAACAGTAAGCCTTCCAGCTTCCAAATAATTCCTGGTCAATATGGTCAAATTATGTTTTGCAAAAAAATGCACTATTAGCGATCAAGTGGCTAGAAGGAAGTTGTATACTTGGACATTGTTGAGAAAAGCCTTTGCAGGCTGATTTTATGCCCATAATTTGATCTGACCGTGTCGCATTGTGCGTCACGGTGCGAACTCATTCTTTTTTTGCTCTGTAACGGTAATTTGCCGAATTCAGTGCCGTTACGTGGCGCAAACTTGTGTAGTGTTACTTACAGCATAGACGGTGTCCATGGAATTGCATTTCATGTGAACTACATGTAGTGTGCTGCAAGCCAGGGCATAGTCAGAGACGAAGCCAGAGTAACTGTAGTGGAGATTCTCAACCTTTTCTGTCATCTTTTATTCCCCTACCCCCTTCCCAAGCACAGGGTAGCCAGCCGGTCTAAGAACTGGCTAACCTCCCTGTCCTTTCTTTTATTGATTTCCTTCTCTTCCTCCTCCTCGAAACCACCAAAATTTTCCCATCTTTCTTGTGTATGTATCGACACGTAAAAACGCAGGCACGAACATACACAATGTATGCCTAACCTCTCCTCTCCCACCCCCCAGCCCCCAAAAGAAACTTCTGGTTTCATTGAAGTTGCTATAAAGCAAGAGAAATTCACAGCGACCCGTTCATAGGGCGAAGCCACAAGAAGATTCATACGGATTTCCCCTGAAATAAAACTCCTTATCGCCGAAAATTCATCCTGCTCTGGGGATAGAACAATGGACCAACGCCTTCACGGGACGCTTTCGGGTACCGATTCGCTCACGCGCTAAGAATTCGCCTCGCGCTAATTGTTCGCCCTCAGCCTGCCAATTGTTTTATATCTCTCGGTTAGTTCAATTGGTAGAGTGACCACTCTGGAGAGGTGTTGGTCCCGCGGTATATCGTCAGAGACAGGTGAAGTTTTCGGCAACTAAATATCTTTAGTTTCTATGATTTTCTTGTCTTCGGGCAACAAAGAGACTGGGTCAAGTTTTTCTTTTTTAACCCTTCCACCACCTTGCAGCATTCCGCAGAACTGATTGGGCATTATGGCTATAATGAAAGAAGAAAATGCTGTCTATACAACCCAGCATCTTGTGTTTTTTACCATGTTGCCACATGGGATGAACTTGCATGATTGTCCCTATACAGGCTGTTTTGTGTAACTTATTTTTATATTCGTTGTGGTGATTTCCGAGTATCCTATTTTCTGTGAAGTGTACCATAGCCAATGGTTTACAAAAGCGTTAACATCTTTTGAGCAACATATAATAATAAACACGCGTTTTTTAACTAGGGCTAAATAAAGGCAGTAGCAAGAAAGATTATGTAGATAATATTAAGTAACGCTATACCGTGGTTATTTCTTACAGTCCGCATCGGTTCCGAGTCAACGTCTGTCGACAGCAACCCTAGTCAGCAAAGCAGTCGAAGTGACTCTGACTACCAGGTGAGATTTTTTTTTTCTTTGGCTTGAAGAGTGCTTGAAGTGGTAAGTGATTCACCCTCACTCGCTTAACCTTTCTAGCTCTACCGTTTCATCGTTCTATATCTCTTATAAGATAGTGTGGTGATAACGACCGCAACGAAGACAGGAAGCTAGCGATTGTTTGGTCATTAACCTATCTTTGTAAGTCCTTTAGGCAATCATCCGATAAATCAACAATTATTACAATCAATATACCGATCAATCAATCAGAACTGATTTTAACCATACAGCAAATGAGTTCAGAAATATGTGAACTGTTGCCACAGGAAGGAATCACCACGTATAACGAAATTACAGCGTATTACTGAGAGAACCACCAAACATACGTGGCCCCGCATAAAGATATGTCAAAGATGGACGGGTGGACGGACGGGTGGACGGACGGGTGGACGGACGGGTGGACGGACGGGTGGATGGACGGGTGGATGGACGGACGGATTAACTGGGGAATGGATGGACGGACGGGTTGGTGGATGAATGGACGGATGGACGGACGGACGAACGGACGGACGGACGGACGGACGGATGGATGGACGGGTAGATGGACGGGTGGATGAATGGGTGGACGGACGGGTGGATGGATGGGTGGGTGGGTGGATGCGCCTATGATTTTGCACCTATGAATTTCCTTTCCATCTCTTACTGCGTCGTCCTCAATTTAAGCTGAACCGCCTTTGTAAGCCTCCAGGTTTATATTGCGTAGGTAAGTACCAGCAAGGTGTAGCTGTTACGTACATTCCTCTTGAGGGTTAGTCATAGATTACTATTTATTATTTGAGCATTGCTTTGCGAATGTGATCTACCTAATCCATATTCTTCTAGTTATTTCTCTCTCATGGTCCGACTCTGCAGTTACTACATGTCCTAAGAAAGCATATTCCGTTACAACTTCCTGCGTCCCTCCACCTACCACAAAGCGCTGTTTTCTGCCGAGACTGTTGCACGTTAATTTAGTTGTGTGCATACTGATTCAGACCTAGTCTTCTGCTTTCTTGCTCCAGTTCAGTAATCATGAGCTGAAGTTTTGTGCATACTAATTTTCAGACCTACTCTTCTGCTTTCTTTCTCATGTTCAGTAATCATGAGCTCTAATTGGTCCCCTTAATTACTCAACAAGGCAATGCCATCAGCGAACCGCCGGTTATCAAGATACTCTACATTAACTCTTATCCCTAACTTTCCCCAACTAGTGCCCGCTAAAGCTCCTGTAAACACTCGGTGAATAGCATTGGAGAAGTCGTGTCTCCCTGCCTTGCACTTTTCTTTATTGGGATTCTGTCACTTTTTAGGGGCGAAGCTCCTTAGGGCGTGGGCTGTGCGTCCCCTGTAGCCTGTATGTAGCCACCTTTAGTTTAGTTCTTGCAGTGTTCACTAGATGGCGGTACCATCCCCTGTATGTAGCCACCTCTAGTTTAGTTCTTGCAGTGTTCACTAGATGGCGGTACCGTCTCCTGTATGTAGCCACCTCTCGTTTAGTTCTTGTAGTGTTTACTAGATGGTGGTAGTTGTAGCTGATGATGAAAAGATGCAAGATGTTATAAACTAGAAAGCGGTACTTGTAGTTGATGAAAGACGCGAGATATTATAAAATAGGAATGATGTCACATATGGCGCGTGTCATTGGGGTAAGGCAATCGTTCAATTTAGTGCGGCGACGTACGCTAGGGGGAGCGTTGTAATAAAATTCGTTCGCTGTTGGCGCGCGCTCGGAGTCGCCGGATGGATAAGGCTGCACAGCGGAGAGAGCGCAAGGCGGCAGCAGCGCGCGCTCACAGACAGAATCCCGATGTGCGAGCGCGTGAGGCAAGGGACATCGCAAGCCATCCATCGTCTAAAAACAAATAAAAGTTGATTTGTGTATATACACACACAGCGTTTCTCACGTCTTTACATGATGATCGACTGGGCGAATTACACGGAAGATTCACAGTTTACCGATGAATCCCTCCGGAGCTTCGCCCATTCATCATCAGTCACCCCGTGAATATGCCGTAATTTTTTTATGAAGAGCTATGATGGCTGTTTTTTCTGATGTAGATAGCTTCCAGTATGTTTATGTGGGGCTCGTCGATTGTTTGATTCTGTAGTGCTACCATTACTGCTGATGCCTCGACGGAATCAAACGCCTTCTCGCAATCTATGAAGGCTATGTATAAGAGCTGGGTGCTCATTTATCTATAACCTGATTGATAGTACGAATATGGTCTATTGTAGAGTAGACAGTACGAAATCCTCTTCGGTCCTTTGGTTGACGAACCTGAATGTCGCCTTAATTTTATTAGCTATTATTTTTGGAAATATTTTGTGGAGAACGGACACTAAGCTGATCAGCCTGTAATTTTTTAAGTCTTTGACGTCTCCCTTCTTATGGATCAAGGTGATGCTGGCGTTCTTCCAAAGAACGCTAACAAAGAAAACGAGCAAGAACGCTAACAAAGAAAACGAGCATTGAAATGTACACTTCTTTCATTCGGTCACTGCCACGTATTTTCGCCCGACAACTCGCCAGCTGATTTGTGTAAATATTCATTTCTTGTTCGTACAATAGCTGAATCGACTAGTCTTGGTCCAGAAGTTTTCAGTGACATCGTTAGCCTGGCTTTTTCTTTTCTTTTCAATAAAATCTCGGCTTGTCTTTTTGGTGACTGATAGCTGTTATTGCTTCTATGGTGTTATGTCCTCCTGAAGAGTATTGTAGTCCGCAGTGACATATTTCACTGTGCGAAATTTTCTCTGTAACAGCTAGTATGCGCTTAGAGTATTTTAAATAAATTAAATAATTAATAACTAATTACCCTAAATGACTAATACTGCAGTCCTGTGCATTTCTAGAAGAGGTGAGTCAGCCTAGACTGACTTTCTTTTCACAGCGAAAGCTATTATGAGACCACAAGGGTCGATTTCGGCGCTGTAGTTGTCTGCCGCCGCCGGTGTCCGTAAGCACTACCACCCCAAGTAAGAAAACAGAACGAACAGAATGAAAAATACTCGGGTTCGAACCTAGCATGGGTTTCGAACCCGAATGGGGTTCGAACCCGATAGAGAATTGGGCGTGCCCGCCCAGTACCCCATTACTGAGCTACGCCATTGTTTATTCTTTCTCTTTCTTTACGGCCTATGTACACTCTGAGTTACGCTGTTTCTTAAAACTCCACTGCATATTTACCCCAGATATGCAGGCTTAATGTCGGGCAGAGAAGTCGTTAATATGCATAATAAATAATTTAACTACATAAAAGTATAACAACCAGGCGTCGCACAACGTGAATTGCATAACGAGTGGGCCG